CAGCCGGAGGTTCACGGAAACCTGCTACACTCTGATGTCCCTCATTGGTAGCGGAGGTCTGCGCTGAGAGCCCCAACCGAGCACCCGATAACGGCATTGAGGATCTATCCGCCTGCGACTTTGACAGGCACTCGTTCAGGGTTTGCTGTTGCCGAGTCGGAGCTGCTGAAGAGAGCGCAGACTGCCTGGATGAGTCAGTCGCCAGGATGGACATGTCGGGGCTCCTACCAGCTCTAGCTGCCAGGAACTGGAACATTGCCGGACATTTGACAGCATGATCCCGACTATCCTTGGCCTCACTTCCACAGAACTGACAGGGCCTGGCGAACAGAGCAACAAGACTCTGCGCACCAGAGTGTGCATTTCGGCGACCAAGCTCCCAGGCCGCTGCATGTTGTTGCTGCCAGTGGATCTTGATCTTGGTGGCATGCCGAACTCGTTGAGTGCATAGTATACACTGTTTGGCAAGACATGTAAGTTGATGACCTTGTGTCCGAAGAATTGTGATGGGATCGTCCAACATCTGTCGAGCTTTCTCAAGGGACTGCATTTCCAGGAGATCATTTGGGGGTTTGGGCGAATGACGAGTTTCACGGGCCTTGATAAGTTGTAATAGCTCAGTTGAGGCATGTCCCTCCGCAATCTTCTCCTTCACCCATCTGCAATGGCCATCCTGAATATGTTTGGTGATGGACGACCAGTCGTGTAGACGTAAGTGACAAAAGCGACACATGGGAATGCCAAACAGGGTGTGGCTCTCCCTGTCAAAGACAAGCTTGGATCGGTGCGCAATGTCCGGATGTTTCTTCTTGATGTGTTGCGACAGACCTTCACGTGTACCAAAGTATGTGCCACATTCGGGACATGCAATTTCACCAACCTCGGCCTTGCGTACATACAGGATGTGCGTTCCCTCCGGCTGTGCTGCATGCGCAGAAAGCTGCTCCAAGATGTCACGTACTCGATGCATCTCCGTCTGCTTGAGGCCCTGACTCCGGAAGCAATCCAGCGCGATGGATCGACCAAGACGTTGTACACCTGTGAGGAGAATGGCAATGGGATCAATGCACGCGCGTCGAAGTACTTCAGCATTTGAGATGCCATGCTCGTAGATGCGGAGAATCTTACGCATGTGTCCAGCCACTGTCGAGGAAACCTTTCGAACAACCTCAACCGTCACCCCCACACCAACCAGACCATAAACAAGGGAGCTAAGGACAATGGCCCGATAGGGTCGCACTCTGTGGCCTGTAGAGAGCGCGCTGCGCGACCGCAGGGGTTTGCGAAGTTGCCTGAAGGCATTATCTGCTTTTTGGGCACGAAGCTGCACGGTTTGGGACTCAAAGCCAGAGTACGAGAGAACGATTCCCAAGTAGTCCAGTCTATCCACGCATGGCAGATAAATGTCTTGATCAGCCTGAATGCGTAGACACTGCACACCATGCCTCTGCTTGAAGAATTTCTTCTGCATCTTGGCAACAAGCTGACCTCGAAGCTGGATGACAATCTGGGACTTGGTGTAGTTGATTTGCAGACCCATCGATTCTAGAGTGTCAATAAGCACTCGAAGATGCTGTACGGAATCACAAAGTTCTCGCTCATTCCGAATGATCCAGCTTCCATGAGTGTCGTCTGCGAAGATGCTGAGATGTCGACGGGACCAGCCATCGCCGAGCACTGCATCCAAGCGACGGCAAAGCCTGACAGTCCAGCACGCATACAGGATTGGTGCAATCGGACACCCCTGACGTAATCCTCGAGTCATGTGGATGCATTGAGTCAGTCCCCCATGATCAATTACACAGACAGAACGACAATGTACCTGCATAACGACGTTTGCCAGGTGAAGCGGAACACCAGCCTCGCACATGGAACAGTAGAGCTCTGAATGAGGCACAGAATCGAAGGCTTTCGCCAAGTCCAAGCTACACATAAACCCCCCCCACAAGGCCAACCCTGGGCTCATCAAGAATCTTGCTGGTGTGATCAATCTGATGCTGACTCATCAAGTCGCGAACCTCGGTGCAATGCAGACTGGAGCGCAGCAGGGCATCCAGCGTGCCAGCCTGGGGCCGATAGGCATACTGTGGCACGTCAGTGAGCGCTTCCCGGATGAAAGGGGTGATCTCCCGTCTCAGGATGAGAAGAAAGCCCTTGCTATCTGCAGAGAGCAGTCCAATAGAACGTAGATGCTCTGGACAAGTTGGAGTCTTGTTAGGTTTCGGCAACCAAGCAAGCTGAACAATACTCCACTCATGAGGCAGAGCAGGAGAATCCTGACAAAGGGCCTGCTGGGACACCCAAGCCAGGGAGGATGCAGCCATCGCAATGTTGTCCTTCCACATCTTCACCGCCGGCTCATGTCGCGGAACAGCTTTGTGTGATGTCAACTGTGATAACGCCCATGTCCAAGACTCAACAGAGA